TCTTGAGTTCTTCAACATTATGACAGTGAAATAACCATCTATGTTACCTAAAGAACAGGGAAAGAAAAGGTCCAGGAAAGGTCATCGGGCATGTCAAAGTATTTATGGTTCTGAAAGAGATCTCTTCAGTACGATCTGGGAGAATCATGCTAATTTGGAAGATGTGCACACTCATTAGTTGCAAGTTTCATAATAAGGGTGAGAAATCTTCAGATATTTTTAACCCAAAAGTTTAAGAAACAACTAATCTAGGACACTTTTTGGGCCACTCTTGCAATCATTTTTTCAAAATGCAGGAAAAAAAATACAACGGAAACCACTAGTCACATGCATATTTTACATCAAACTATATCCTGGTATCAAAACAGAGAAAGTAATTTAATTGCATCTTTATTTGATTTACCCTTTTCAGTTCCTATGAATGGTCAGAGCTTTTGGCAAGGAAGACAGAATAAAACTGAAGCTATTTTTTCCAGTTTCTGTCTCATGAAGTTAGGGCTTATTTCTTACCTGGAATAATTGTGTAATTGCCTGCTCTCTTCTGTAGATAACAGAGGTATGGTGGGATGACCTCCTGTAAAAACACCACATCTGGACTGTATCTGAAATCAGCAAGACAAGTTTTTTAACTAAATACTGTAAGATGACATTGTCACACTCTGATGCCAAACAGAATAGGGCCAGGGAGTTCAGATGCACTTTTTTTCCCTTGTCTTCCTATATAGTGTAAGAATCTGTTTAAAAATACACATATATAGTATATTTACTGGCATGAAAACACACCACCATTGTTGAAGGGAGAAAACAATGATTATTACTGACATGGTAATAAAATGTATGACTGCCCAGGTTTCACTTTTTGTCACATATGTAAGGAACTCAACATAAACCGCTGAAAAGCGAGCTTTGGAACATGTTTTGCAAGATCTCCAAACCCCACCTCATTCCCTCACACCAGATGCACCTGTAGTAACCTACCATTTGTTTTCTTCAGTCTCATCTATGCTAAGCTCTTTTATTTCTTAGTGCTGTGCAATTTGTTAAGGTTCATGAGGGGCAGCAGCCCCAAAAGTGCTCGTTTAGAATGTGCCTTTACAGCTGTCCCTATTTTTGCTTCACTGCTGAATAAACCTGCTCTAAGCAAGTGAAAGATGAACCAAAGGCCTTATCTATAGAAGAAAAACAAAATGACCCCAGTTTAATAAAAATCAATTTAAAATTGATTTAGTTAAATCCCTCTTAAACCAGTAGAAAGCCCTTAAATTAACACTTGTTTAAATCAGTTTGATTTACACTGATAAATTACTGTATTAAGATAAACTAATTTATGTAATTGTTATACTGTTTAAATATATATTCATGGGAGGCTTTCAGTGGTATAACCATAAAAGGTAATCAATGCTGCAGCTTTATTCTCCTCACAGATTCTATTGCTTTTGTCTTAACTTGCACATTTCCATTTTTGATAGCCAAAGAACAAGAGACCCACTTTCTACATACGCCATATGGTTTGTTCTAGAGTGAAGTTACTCATTCTGTTGGAACTAGACAAACAAGTTTTTTGGACTTTTAACCTCTTCTCATGTACAGAATGGAAGTATGCTCTTGCTCTACGTTCGCAAGTTGGTATAAACAATATTGCTTATTACAAAGCATCTTTTAAGAGTAGCCATTGCAAGATCTTTAACCTCTGGAATGTTGCATAGGTTCAGAGCTCTTTTGGCCAGGACATCAACTTTTATTGATCTATTTTAGGATTTATAAATTTAGGATTGTTGAATCCAGCGTTAAGATAATTTGCACATAAACACTTTGTGAGTATCTAAAACAAGGAGATTGCTTTCTCCTTTAAAGCTAGACATATGACAACTCAAAGACAAAACTATACTTACAATGCCAGATAAGAACAGACTCCTCTAGCTCGGTCTTGCTGATTTGCTAAATCCAGACCATCAATGTTCCAAGTGATTAGAGAGAAGTTGCTGTCATCTTCTTGTTGCCTTGAGTCTGCACCATTGACATCAGTATTACTAGTAGTTGCATCAGCTGTCAAGTCAACACTAAAAAGATAGTTTACTTGTTTGTCAACATCACAATACTATTTCCCCTTCAATTACTTCCCTTACCTTCTAAGGAGAAAAGTTTTCGACTCCTCATGACTTTCAAGTGGCCTACTAAAACCTTTCCAACAAATAACAAATAAGTTAACTTATATTGATCCCTTATTCAAAGAAATGCACTAACTCTAACATACAGACCTCAATCACACAGAGCCTTAATACCGAGGTGAAGTAAGTGGTTTTAACTCCTTACAGACACAGGACTACACGTACCCTTACAATTCAAGTTAATCTGATGGAAACTAATGCAACTCAACGGAGCTGCGTAATTCAACTTTTCCCCAATTTTAGTTTCTGAAGAGGGGCTGTACATATTAATTTCTCAAAGACTTTCCAACATATTAGAAGCGAAGAACTGCAGCCAGGACTTGCTTTTATGTGCCCGCCTTTGTAGTGCGGCAGCGTTTCTTCCGAAAGTTGAGCCACCTGTGGACCTACACATGCTAACTCACTGTGTGACAAATAGAGTGCTTTCTTCAAAAAACATTCATCCCATCTAAAAGACAAAGGCCCCGTCTATCCCACTGATTTGATAAAGACTAGCCAGCACTGTCAAGGTACGAGTGCACATCTAGTCCCTGTTTTAGGATTGTGCCACTGAAGAGGACCAGACTCTACCTGTTAAAGCATGGTCTGATGTAAACTCCTTCAGTAGAGGGAGAGTCTATAATAAAACAGGTTAACTAGTACAGATAAGACTAGACAAACTGTTTTGGCAAACTTAGGATACTGCTGGGATGCTGTTTTCAAACACAGGATTTATACATACACATGCAAATAAGGCCTTGAACCAAAACATATCTGTTCCCTAGAATTTACTACTGCTTCTGTACTTGGCACTGCACAAAAAAATGTAATATTCCACTACATGTAATCTAAACTGAACAGAAAAAGAAGGGCAAAGGAGGTGAGGCCAACAGATATTGAAATAAGTAAGAATTCTATGTGGTGTATGCCTCCGAAATTTTATATTTATACAGCAACCTGAAGGACCATGAGATGAAACAGGAGAGTATATATGGACACCAAGAGGTGGGAGAATAGCAGCTGAAAGATTTTTTTTTTTCCCTCAAAATGATGGAGATTAAGTGACGGGCGAGACTAGCACTGCCTGCCAGAAAAATTAAAATCAGAAATCCTAGAGAAGTAAATTGCCCAATATTGACACCAACAACTACGTTCGATTAGTGAAAACATAATTGTAACCTGTGCTTTTTCTACACTTGAACTGCTATCACTGCTTAGTAGCAACAGACCAGAATTGGTGCTAGTGACAACGCAGGCAGATAAAACGTTACATTTCCTCTCCAGCGTTTAAGAAACTACCAGCTCTTCCCTACTATAGACCTCACCTCTACGTGGCCAACGTAGCATACACCTCCGCCTGTGGGTGACAGGCCCCCGCATCAAGCCCCACTTTTGACTCATACCGTATCACAACTTGGAGAAATCCTAGAGGCTGAGACCCATCCTAAACGTTTTGAAATCAGCAACCTAGAACACATCTTTAAGCCAGCCTGTCAACGCCAACGGCAAGACGTGCTCCGAGTTGAACAAGACCTACGGGGAGGTCTCCAAAGAGCCCTCTCCTCCCCGACACATCCTCCACACCCCAGCTCGAGACAGAAGCCGCAGTGCAAGGGCAAAGACAAAGACAGAGAGGGGAAAAGACAAAACTGCTGGCAGTTTGGTACAGACGTGTTCCAGCTCTCCAAGGGCTACCCAGAAATACAGGCTCGTGTTCAGCAG